AGATATTCAACAAGTATTAGAAAAATATACTAATGTACATATTGATACTAATTCAACGGATGGTTTAGTTACAGATTTAAAATATAAAGCATTAATTATGGATACAGTTCATAATATGGATGTTGTACAACAATTAAAAGATGCAAGAATAAAAAATATTTATGATTGGTTATGGCAAAAACAATTAAGATTCTATTTAGAACATAATAATGCTATTATTAAAATGGTTGATGCACAATTTAATTATACATATGAATATCAAGGAAATGCACAAAAACTTGTACATACACCTTTAACAGATAAATGTTATTTAACTTTAACACAAGGAATGCATATGGGTTTTGGTGGAAATCCAGTATGGAATATTTCTTAATTTTGTTTTTGTTATTCAATTATTGCTTATTTTTTAGTACGGACCAGCTGGTACAGGTAAAACCGAATCTGTTAAAGCTCTTGGTTCAACATTTGGGCGACAAGTACTTGTATTCAATTGTGATGAAGTAATTCTATTAAGATTTAAAATAAAAAATAGTCAAGTATATTTTATTTAGGGTATCGATGTTAAATCAATTGGTCGAATATTTATTGGTATTTGTAAATCTGGTACGTACTTTTTCTATCGAAAGAAAACGTTTTTATAATTATGTTTATTAGATGCTTGGGGTTGTTTTGATGAATTTAATCGTTTGGATGAAGCTGTATTATCAGCTGTATCAATGCAAATTCAAGTTATTCAAGATGCTTTAAAAAGTGGTGCATCATCATTAACATTACTTGATCGTAATATCGAAATCAATCCAAATTCAGGAATATTTGTTACACTTAATCCAGCTGGAAAAGGTTATGGTGGTCGTTCGAAATTACCCGATAATTTAAAACAATTATTTCGACCTGTAGCTATGTCAAAACCAAATAATGAACTTATTGCAGAAGTTCTTCTCTATTCTGATGGATTTAAAAATGCAAATATTTTAGCAAGAAAACTTGTTGCATTATTTAATTTAAGTAAAGAACTTCTAACAACACAACAACATTATGATTGGGGTTTAAGAGCATTAAAAACTGTATTGAAAGGTTGCGGAACATTATTACGAAATGCTAGATCGAATAAAGGTATGCAAAAATTATAAATTGAAAATAATTTAAAATAATATTTTTATTTTAGTTGAAATTTCATCAAAATATGAATCTCAATTAGTTGTACAGGCAGCTCGTATAAATACTTTATCGAAATTAACTTTTGGTGATTCGAAACGTTTTGATGGTCTTCTACAAGATATATTTCCTGGTATTGATTTACGAGATATTGAATATGAAAATTTACGATTAGCATTACATGATATTTATAAAGAACATCATTTATTAATAAATGATATGCAAGTAAGAAAAATTCTTATTTAGTGTATTTGTATTATGTTGTATATATAAATAACTAGATTCGTAAAGCACTTGAACTTTATGAACAACTTCGACAACGTATGGGTGTTGTTATTGTAGGACCATCTGGTTCAGGAAAATCCGTTTTATGGAAAATGCTTCAACATGCTATGCAAAAAATAGGTCATCAAGTTCGAACATATGTTATGAATCCAAAATCAATGCCACGAATACAATTACTTGGACATATTGATATTGATACAAGAGAATGGTCGGATGGTGTATTAACAGCTGCATCACGTGCTGTTGTTAAAGAACCACTTGGTAAAAAATTTTATATTTCGAAATAAAATATATATTGTTTTTTTTTACTTAAAAAGAAATTCAATCATGGATTGTATGTGATGGTGATGTTGACCCTGAATGGATTGAATCCTTAAATTCTGTTCTTGATGATAATCGTTTGCTAACAATGCCATCTGGTGAACGTATACAATTTGGACCAAATGTTAATTTTCTTTTTGAAACACATGATTTAAGTTGTGCTTCACCTGCAACAATTTCTCGAATGGGAATGATTTTTCTTAGGTTTGAACTTTAATTATTCATTTAGTTTTTCTATAATATTTTATTTTAGTGATGAAGATACAGATGTAAAAGCAGTTGTTCAATCATGGTTAGCAAAAGAATCCGATGAAACACGTTCATCAACAGAACAATTTATAAATGATTATTTTTTTGAAGCATTCGATTGGATACTTAAAAAAAATGATTTTGTTGTTGAAACAACATTAATTGGTACTGTTCTGAATGGTTTATCACATTTACATGGTGTACATGATAAATCATTATTTGCTTTGGGTTTAATTCGTGGTTTAGGCGGGAATTTAACAGAAAAAACAAAAGAAGAATTTGCACGTGAAGTATGTTTAATGAATTTCATCGGGATAAATATCATTAAATTTTCATTTCTAGGTATTTCGAATAACAGGTGAACATCCACCAGATCCAAGTAATTTATTATCAACAAAATTTGATGAACAAACAAAAGCGTTAATGACTTATATGAATGATGTAAATCTTTTTATATAAATCTTTTTTTGTTCCTATTTATTATATTTAGGAAAAATCTGATCTAACTGCCGATAATTTTAATAATATGTACGACCTTCCTGTAGTTCGTACAATCGATATTCAACGTTATCTTGATTCATTTCTTCCATGGCTTGATAGCAAACATCGTAAACCTTTTCTTGTTGTTGGACCGGATGGTTGCGGCAAAGGGTATTAAACAAAATTTTGCTTGCGTTTAAATATTTTCAATCTTTTATAGAACTCTTCTACGTTATTGTTTTCGTCAATTACGTTCAACACAAGTTGCAATTTTACATTGTAGTGCTCAAACATCACCAATACATGTTATACAAAAATTAAATCAATCATGTATACAAGTATCATCAACAAATGGTCGAACATATCGACCAAAAGATTGTGAAAATCTTATTTTATATGTTAAAGATATTAATCTACCTAAACTTGATAAATGGGGTACAAGTCAATTAATTGAATTTTTACAACAAGTAAGAAACTTTTTTCTATTGATTGAATCAAAATAAATTCTTATATAGATTTTAACTTACAATGGTTTTTATGATGAAAATCTTGAATTTGTTAATCTTGAAAATATACAAATCGTTGGAAGTATGAACCCATCGAATACACTTGGTAGACATAAATTATCAACACGTTTTACATCAATTGTTCGGATATGTTCAATAAATTATCCGAATGAAGAACAATTACAAATCATCTATGCAAATTATTTAAAAGCTATACTTCAACAACAATTACCCAATCATAAAATATGGTCATCACATGGAAAAACTCATCAATTAGCTTTATCAATGATTCATGTTTATAACGAATTAAGAACGAAATTTAGTCAAGATGAACATAGTCATTATTTATTTACACCAAGAGATTTAACACGTTGGTGTTTAAGTTTATTACGTTATGATTTTTCATCAAGTAAAAATGATGCGTCAATAGACAGTTTACTTGAAATTTGGACCTATGAAGCATGTAGATTATTTAAAGATCGTTTAGTTGGAAGTGATGCACAAAATAAATTCGATCAATTAATTGATCAAGTATTAAGAAGTGATTGGTCATCGAATGCTTCAAATTCATTAAGAGGTAATGGAAAATTGAATGTAATTTGCTTAGATTTGTTTTTGTATCGGTTTGATTTAGATTCTTATTTTGTATCTTGGGTAACTAGCGGTAATCGTCGAACACTTCCACCAGCTGGTCGTGTATTAACACGTTTAACTAGTAAGGATCTACAACCATTTGTTGAACGTGGTATTGCTCGTTATCGAGCTGATTATCGTGATACAGATGTATTTATATTTCGTGAAATACTTGATACAATTGTTCGATGTGATCGTGTATTAACAACACCTGGTGGTTCATTGTTATTAGCTGGTAGAAGTGGTGTTGGACGTCGTACAGCAATTGGTATTGTTGCTTCAATGAATAATATGAAATTATTTTCACCTAAAGTTAGTCGATCTTATGGAATAAAACAATTTAAAAATGATTTAAAAACGGTTTGTTAGAATTCTTCTTATTATTATAAAAAATGAATATTGATTTCTGATAGATTTTACAAAGTGCAGGTGTTGAAGGTGAACAATGTATTTTATTAATGGAAGATTATCAATTTATTGAATCAACATTTGTTGAATTAATTAATAGTCTTTTATCAGCTGGTGAAGTTCCAGGTCTTTATACACCCGATGAATTAGAAGCAATCTTATCTCCATTACGTGAAGAATCATCACAAGAAAATTTTCGTGGAACAATGGTTCAATATTTTGCTCAAAGTAAATATCTTCTTCTTAATAATCGTAATTACAATTTCGATGTATTTCTAGGAGTAAAAACAAATCTACATATTGTATTAATTATGGATTTTACTCGACCAACATTTACAATTGCATGTCAAAGTAATCCAGGATTTTTTAAAGAATGTTCCGTACAATGGTTAGAAGGTTGGTCAGAAAGATCAATGATTAAAGTATGAAATAGATTTTTGTTTTGTCTTACATTTTTTTATATTATTTAATTTAGATTCCATCAATGTTATTTTCAAAAGATCGTTCAGAAGAAGATAGTAAAAATAATTATACTGAAAAAATTAATCTTGATGAAGATTTAGCAAAATTATTTTATCAAATTCATCAATCAATGGAAAAGAAATATTTAACACCAAGACGTTATTTAATTTTACTTGAAACATATCGCGAAGTTTATCTATCTAAACAACATGCAATTGTTAAAAGACAAAAACATTTAAAATCCGGTGTTTCAAAATTAAGTGATGCAAGAAAAGTTGTTGATGATTTAAAACGTAATGCAGAAGTTAAACAAAAAGCACTAGCTGTAAAACAACATGAAGCTGATGACGCTCTTAAACAAATTACTAAAAGCATGGCTGTAAGTATGAATAGAAGGGACGCAATCACTTGAGGGTGGGTGTGGGCGAGGGGGTGGATGTGCTTTATTTTAGATATACACACACCCACACCCTCGAGCTACTCTTGACAAGTACAAATATCAGGATGGGTCTTGATTTTTATTTCTTTTAGGATGCTGGATCGCAAAAGACTGAAATGGAACAGCTGAAATCAAAAGTCAATGAAGAAACATCCAATATTGAACGTCAAAAACGTGAAATTGATGATGAATTAGCTGAAACTCAACCATTAGTTGATCAAGCTAAGGAAGCGGTTGGTAATTTAAAATCTAGTACATTAACTGAAATAAAGTCATTACGTTCACCACCTGAAGTTATTAAAGATATTCTTGAAGGTGTATTGAAATTAATGGGTAAATCAGATACATCCTGGAACTCTATGACAGCATTCTTAGGTCAACGTGGTGTTAAAGAAGATATTATGAATTTTGATCCACGAAATGTTTCATCAGATAATCGTGATCAAGTTGAAAAATTATTACGTGGAAAAGCGAGCTCATTTACTCAAGAAAATGCTTCTAAAGCATCTCAGGCAGCTGGTCCACTTGCTACATGGGTTGTTGCAAATGTTAAATACTCACGTGTATTAGAAAAAATTCGTCCATTAGAAGAAAAACAAAATAAATTAAAAAAGTAAAAACAAAAAGAGAAATAATATAAATCGACCCGTTTTTTTTTTGTGTTTAGAAATTTAGAAAGTTCAACAAGAAAAATGGATGAATTAAGTCATGATTTAAAAATAGTTGATGATAAAGTTGAAAAATTTCGTCAAACATTTGAAAAAACAACGAATGAAGCTCAACGTTTAAAAGTTGATTTAGAAAAAGCAAATGAAACAATTGAAGCAGCACAAAATCTTGTTGGAAAACTTGAAGGAGAATTTTATCGGTAATTATTTTGAAGACTTGATAATTTGTTATAAAACGTTTTTTTTTGTTTAGTTGGTCAACTCAAGTCAATGATCTTGATGAACAATTAAAAATTTTACCAAAAATTTCCATATTATCTGCTGGTTTTATAACATATTTAGCTAGTCAATCGGAAGATAAACGTGTTGATTATATAAATAAATGGAAACAAATATTGGGGGTTGATGAAAAATTTAATGTAAGAAAATTTTTATCAACTGAAAGTGAACAATTAGTATGGAAAAGTCAAGGTTTACCATCGGATGAATTATCAATGGAAAATGCAATGGTTATACTTCGTTCACAGTTATGTCCTTTTCTTGTTGATCCATCATCACGTGCAACTGAATGGTTAAAAACACATTTAAAAGAGAAAAAAGTTGAAGTTATTAATCAACAAGATAATAATTTTACAACACAATTAGAATTAGCTGTACGATTTGGAAAAATATTAATTGTACAAGAAGTTGATGGAGTTGAACCAGTACTTTATCCTGTTTTGCGAAAAGATTTAGCAGCACAAGGACCAAGACATGTTGTTCAAGTTGGTGAAAAAGTTATTGATTATAATCCAGAATTTAGAATTTATTTAACAACAAGAAATCCAACACCAGAATTATTACCAGATATGGAAGCTATTGTTAATGAAATTAATTTTACCACTACACGTGCTGGACTTACAGGACAGGTAAAATAATAGTAATATAAGATGGGTTGTATATTGATTTATCTTTTAGCTTTTGGCAATTGCTATTCAACATGAAAAACCTGAATTAGAAGTTCGTAAAACTGATTTACTTCGAAAAGAAGAAGAACTTAAAATTGAATTGGCGAAATTAGAAGATCAATTACTCGAAGTAAGGATATTTTTGAATATATAATTTTATTATCTTTCGCTTCTTTTTTGTAATAAAAAAGGATTTAGCAAATGCAACTGGAAATATTTTAGAAAATAAAGAATTATTACAATCATTAAATAAAACAAAAGAAAAATCTGCTACAATAACAAATTCACTTGAAGAATCTCTTAAACTCGGTCTAGATCTTGATAAAGTATGAATCGAATAAAAATTATTTTATTGATACAACTTTTTATTTTTCATTCTTAGGAAAGAAATGATTATTTACCACTTGCTAATCATGGAAGTAAATTATTTTTTGTTATATCAGATTTATCGAAAGTCAATAATATGTATCAATTCAGTTTGGCTGCATTTTTACGTCTATTTCAACGTAATCTCGAACGAACAGATGTAAATTATTTAGTTTTCCCATTATTTTAACTGATATTTCTTTTTTTTTCTATTTTAGGCAAATGTAAATGATGAAAATATTCTATTGATATAAATATTTATATATATTTCTATTTAGAGAGGCTCACCACAAGATCGAGTATTATCTCTAGCTAAAAATCAATTACGTATGGCTTATACATACATAACTCGATCACTTTTTAAAGCTGATCGTTTAATGTTTGCAATGCATTTAGTACATGGAATGTTTGCAAAGAAAGTTCCGGAAAATGTAAATATTAGACATCTGATGTTTTATTTGTTCTTAAAATTGTCACAGGTAGAATCTAGGAGAAAATAGCTGATTCGAGCGCATTTGATCTAATGTAGATCATATCGTATTCAAAAAAATGCCGTACCCCTCTACAGAAAAATACTGCCAGCTGATTAATTTAAAATAAAACATGAATCCATATATCCTAAGTTGACAATCATTTTTTATATTATAATAAATTTAGGAATGGGAACATTTTCTTGGTTTAAATATTGCTGATGTAAAAGAAACACGAACATTACCATCATGGGTTAATGAAGAACGATCATTTGATGTTTCTACATTTAAAGTAACGTAAAAAAATCATGATTATTAAATAAACTATATCGTTATTATGCTTTTCTTTAAGACAAATTTTTCTCAACTTTTTTCAAATCTTCGTTTTGATGATGATTCATGGTCAAAATGGAATTCTATCAATGATTGCGAATTACATTTTCCTGAAGATAAACATTTAACACCATTTCAACAAATATTAGTTATACAAGCATTTCGACCTGATCGTTTAGAAAGTACAATGAAACAATTTGCTTGTGATCAATTAGGAATTAAAGATATATCACCTGAAACATTAAACTTAAGAAAACTTTATTCAAAAGAAACTATATCAACAGAACCTATTTTAATTATTATCTCACCTGGTGCTGATCCATCTACTGAACTTAGAGATTTAGCTGCGGAAATAACTGGAAAAGATCGATATTCAGAGGTAATTTCAATCGAATTAATAATAAATAAAATTCTCATATGAATAAGTTACTTTATAATAGGTTGCTATGGGTCAAGGTCAAATGGAAATTGCTCTTGATTTATTAAAAAAATGTTCAGAACAAGGTGCATGGCTATGTTTAAAAAATCTTCATTTAGTTACACCTTGGTTAACGATACTTGAAAAAGTAATTTCTATTCATTATATATTAATTATTTATTTTTCTTTTATCTAATTTAGGAATTAAATGCATTAAAACCACATAAAAATTTTCGTTTATGGTTAACTTCTGAAGTTCATCCAAAATTTCCAACTATATTATTACAATCAAGTATTAAAATAACATATGAAGCTCCACCTGGTTTAAAGAAAAATCTTTTACGTACATTTGAAAATTGGACACCAGATGAATTTAGTAAAGGAAGTGTTGCACGTTCACAAACACTTTTTGTTTTAGCATGGTTTCATGCAATTATACAAGAACGACGAAAATATATTCCACAAGTAATTTTTTGTTTTAAAAATTATCGATTACAATTGAATATTTAATTTAGGGTTGGACTAAATTTTATGAATTTTCTCAAGCAGATCTACGTGCTGGCTACGAAATTATTCATCGATTAACTGAACGAGCTGCAAGACAATGTAAGTTGATCATGAATTAGTAATATATGGCTTAGTTTTAATTCGCATCTCAGAAACGAAGTTTATTTATACACAAGTAACGCTCGTCCCAGGACTCGCTTAGCTCTTCATATTTACTGAAAAAACAACTGAAAACCGTGAAAATTCGATTTTCGATGTTTTTTTGACCCCGCGGACATACAAGCAATCAGACAATTTATGTTTACTGGACTTTTCTCTACGAGAAAGAGAATAGATTAATTAATTAAATGATAGGGATTTTCACGATATATTGAACTTTTAGTAACAATATTTTTATAAATTTATTAAAATTTTCTAGCGGGTGGTGATATTCAATGGGATTATATTCATGGTCTATTCGATCAAGCTGTTTATGGTGGTCGAGTTGATAATCCAGTTGATACAGATGTATTAAGATCTTATTTGATGCAATATTTTAATTCAGCTATTATTGGTGGTGCAAAAGGATTAAAAAGTCGATTAGCATCAAGTATAAATCTACCAAATTCAACAGAACATCATGTATAAAAAAAAACTCTTTTCTTTTTTTCTAATGAAGTTTTATGATTGAATATATAGGATTATAAAAAGATTTGTGATGAATTACCTGATGAAGATGCGCCAAGTTTATTTGGTTTACCAGCTAATATTGAACGATCAGCACAACGAATGAATAGTACACAAGTAAAATAAATAATTCATGAAAATTTTGATAGAAATATAAGAAAATTTTATTGTCGTTTTTTTAGATAATAAATTCTTTAAAAATTCTTCAACGTACTGATGTTGTAGTTGAAAAGTTCGATAAAGAAAAATGGAATACATTATTAACACCATTACTTAATTTATGGAAAAAACTAAATCAAGTATAAAAAATAACAAACAAAAAATGATTGTTGATAATTTCTTTTTTATTAGGACATAGATTTTATAAAATTAAAAGTTCAACCACCAGTTGAAGATGGTTCTTTAACACCAATTCAATCATTTCTTCAATTAGAACGTTATAATGGTGTTCAATTAGTTCAAACAATTCATGAAAATTTAGCTGCTCTATCAAAAGTTATTCGAGGAATTAGTTTAATTACAAATGAAATACAAGAATATGCAAAAGATTTACTTCAAAATGAGGTAATTTAGTTATTAATTATGAAGAGAAGTTTTCAATGTAGAAATACGTGCCGAACATTTCTTAGTAGATTCACACAGATTCATGTTTTTAATCATGTAGGAAAAAACATCTACGAAAACCAATCGAGGACATATCTTTTAAATATCAAGGCTTTACTAATTATTCATGCTGAGATGCATGCAAAATAGCAGATTTCTTTTTTTCGAGTGGGCGAATCGAAATTTCAGGTGAACGCCGCCCATTCAGTCCCACCCTCTAGATAAAACACTGATGAATAGTAATATTAGTATGAAGAATTTTTATCATTCTCCATGTATTCATACTAACTCAGAGAAACATGAGACGTTATATAACATATATATTGATTGAGTGATAATAATACTAATCTATCAACATTCAATGAGATTCTATATATAGTCGAAATAATTTTTTTTTCCATTATAATTAATTTATTCAAGATATTTTTACTATTAGTATTATTTCTATCACTGAATATTATAGCTCCGCTTATATCAGAATGATTTCGTAATTATAGGTTACATTCGCTATCGTCAAGTACATGTCTAAAATCATTAAATATTTATTAATATTGCCGCTTCTCCGAAAATATAAGATTGAAGACTAATCTTAAAAACATCGAATCATTCCGAAACTATATCAGTCACTTTTATTATTATTGTTATGTTTCTGATTAACAAAATTTACTCTTCCAGTCAAATAATTTAATTCTATTTCTTTACAATATTCGCACCTTTTCATCATACATTATATAAATTAATTGACGTCATATAATTCAATCAATCACTTTTTTCTCTTTCTTATAATTTTAGACACCACAAACATGGCAAGCTCGTTGGGAAGGTCCAAATGATTCATTACAATATTTACGTGTTGTTGTATCAAAAGCTAAAGCTATGCAACAAATAACATCATCAATAAAAGATCAAGATATATTTTCTCAAACAATTAATTTATCAGATCTTTTTCGTCCAGATACATTTTTAAATGCATTAAGACAACAAACAGCACGAATAACAAAACAACCAATGGATACATTAGTATTAAATACGTCATGGTCTGGTGAAGTTAAACATGGAAAGAATGTTTCAATTAGAATAACTGGTTTACAATTAGAAGGTTGTTCATTTGATAGTGGACGTTTAAGTGAAAGTGCACCTGATTCACCAAGTGTTACTGCATTTCCTTCGTGTTATATTGCATGGATACCTCAAGTAATTGTTTATCGAATTCGTTTTTTTTTCGTATTTCAATAATTTGTAATTTAAGGATGTTGCACAACAAGAAACACGTGAAATTATTTCATTACCAGTCTATTTTAATGCTGATCGAGAAAAAATAGTTACCAGATTAAATGTTCCATGTGGTAGCGATAAAAACAAATGGTTACAATGTGGAGCTGCACTTTTTCTTAAAAATGTTTAAATTTTAATTCTATTTATTTGTGAATAAAATAAATCATTATCTTAATAAATATGATTAGTCCGGAGCACATATTCGATTAGAAAAATAACAAAGAAAAAAACGTTCTATCGCTTCAGGCTTAATCAATCGATAGTTATTTTATTTTCTACAAATTTCTAATGTAAAAAAGAATAAAATTAATGAGTAGAAAATGTCATGTGTTAGTATCATTTATTATAATCTGTACTGAATTTCAAATATGATGAATTTTGTTCATGATCGAAAAAAAATAACACACATTAATCTATATAATAGGACAATATTCATATATGAATTATCGAGATATGCTAAATAACTAATCGTTTTATAATTTTTATATAAAACTCTCTTTTTTATCTTCTCTCTATCTTTGAAAATCCTCGGCAAACTAAAGAGAGAAAAATATTGGGCAACTAATCAAGTTACGACTTTAGTAGTTTTCTCTTTTTCTTCTCTACTTTTTTTCTTCTTCTCGTCTAATATATAACACTGGAAACAATAATATATAGTAGAAAACAACGAACGATAGACGGCTATTAGTCGAGTTCTAAAAAACATTCAACATCACATAATAATAATAATAATAATTTAATTATTAATAAATGGAATTCGTATACAATAAATTTTTTTTCCTATTCACAATTATTCTCGTATGTAAAATTTAAGAAAAAACAAAAAGAACTTCATTTATTTATCTTTAGATTAGCAGCCAATTATTATACATTTGTACTGGTGATGCTTCAATAGATACAGATGAAAATCCTGTTTCTTTAAATAAACGTTATCGTTTTGATAAAAAAGAAAGTTCAACATCGAATGAAGATATTGATTTCAATGATCATGATGACGATCATTTATTACCAATACATAAACGATATCGTTTTGATAAACGTTATCGATTTGATAAAAAACAAGTGAATAATGATGGTATTAACAAACGTTACCGTTTTGATAAACGTTATCGATTTGATTGAAAATAAAACAAACAAAGGAAATTAAAACACAAACCCATATGACTAATTCAAACAAAAAAAACATTTTCCTGTTTTTTTTTGTTTATAACATCCACATTTGGCATATTTTACAACTTGAAAACAATACATATATATGATTCTCTATTTCGTTCTATACTATGTAAATCACTTTCACAAAAAAAAAAGGTTACACAATATATTTTTTTTTTCTTAATAATAAGTCACACTTCATCTTCAATTGGTCTTCGTGAAGGTGAATATTTTTGATTTTGTGGATCTGAAGAAATATGAGTTGTTTCATTATTATTATTTTTCATAGGGAATTTAGGTAGTGGTGGTATTGGCGTAGATAATTCATTATCATCTGGAACTGATGTGAATGTAAGAGATGTATTATGATCTTCTTGTTGTGATGAAATTAAATTCGTACGAGTTTCTTTTTCATCATCATCATCATCAGAATCTGGAATTCTACATACAAATAATAAAAAGATTGCATCAAATATTGCTAAACCGAATGCAATCCAAGCTAAAATTGTTGAATAACCAATACGAATATTAATACTTGATAAAAATCGATTAATAGCAGTTGTTGTATCTTGTGATAATTTATAAATTTGATTAGATTTATAATGTTTTTGTATAGCAATTAAATAAGCAATAGATTCATATTCAAGATGTTGATAGATAATTATTAAATTTAACATTAAAAATAATATTGCTAATACAGATGCTAATAAAGCGAAGCATTTTATTTTTAAACGATAATGCAGATTAGACAAAAATGGAAATGAACTATATAATAGACTAGTTGCAGATAAACATATTAATGCTAATATTCCAATTATTTGACATAGAATAGCATAGGGCGGATAAAGACAATCACAAGAAAATTTTAAATCGGAATTTGTTTGCGAATAAGATATATCAAATGTTGCACGAAGATAATTAGTATTAATATCAAAATTTTTTTCATTTGCTTTTGTACAAAATTGATAATATGGTAAACTATGGCATTTATTAAAATAATCATCTTGATAGGAAGGTAAATAATTTTTTGTACATTTGCTATTTCGTTTATTTAAAAAAAAATTAAATAAATCTTGTTTTTGAAGATTATTCTGATTATTTATTATTGATGAATTACTTAAAATATTTTCACATCGTTGAAATAAACCATATGAATGACGACTATAACGATGTACGGTATTAAAATAATGTAATATTTCAGTACGTATTAAAGCATCTACACCATCGACATATAATGAATGTGTATTGGGAGTTATTTCTTTCCAATGTGGTGTAAAAAATGCTATACATTGAAGTATAATTGTAATAAATGTCAATAAAATCCCAATGCCGATCTTAATTGATATTTTGCCTTGAGTTATTTTATTTTTCGTTTTTTCGATTTTCTGTCGTGTGTTTGATTTAGTGTGAACTTCAGATGCTGAAGTAGGTTTTTTTTGTCCTTCAATCATCGATGTCTTTTTTTTATTCTTTTAACAATCATCTCTACAATAAATATTATACTAATTTATATAAATGATAAAATAACTATATAGAAATAATAAAAAACACCAAATGTTCAAACATATGTCTGTTATTTTAAATTAGACATAACAAAGATACACACACATATATATATATATATATTCTTATACTTACCATCTCCTTATCATTGTTTTTTAGGCAAATGTTGATGATAAGAATATACATATAGTACAAATCAAATACTCATATATGGTAATTATAATTTTTCTTTTATATTTGTTCTGAGTATGTAGTATGTAGTATGTATACGAATGTAAAGATAGAATAGTGATTCGACGATTGTAATATTGGTAGATGAAGTTTTCGTCGTGCCTAAACTACCTTGTTCTTTATTCGCACTATATGTGGTCTCTTTTTTTTTCGTGTGTTTAACTTGTTCTTTTCGTCTTTCGATAAAATGAATGAAAGAAAAGAAAGAATTTTTATTGTTATGTAAAAAAAAAACTTGTACTTAGTAAGAACGAATCATATTGTCATCGTAAAAGAAACATAAATTTTATAATCTAACTGCATACAAATACAAAAGAATAAAGTATAGTTGACTATGACAACATACAAGGCTGTATACGTCAGTTCTTTTTTTTTCTTCTTCATTTTTTCAATCGTATCTTACAGCTGATAAATATTCTTTTCAAAAAAAATAGGGTTACTTTTTTTCAAATTAAAATGAGTCAATATTGATATGATACAAATACTATTAATCTTGTATTTGAATATAAACAATCATTGCTATTTTAATTAAATACCGATTATTTTATTAGAATTTAAAAGCATTTTTGAAGTTTATACACGTACATAGCGATATGTCAAACAAATTCATCATTCATTTTCATGTACGTAGTATGATGCAATCGTATTCTATTATTGACCTTTTTCATAATACAAAAGCCTATTTAAAAGATTGACGCTGATTTTGTATGATTACGAACAAAAAAAATCTGTACACTAATCGATCTATGATAAAAGCTGATTGATTTATATGTATTCACGACGTAATAAAACATATTAAAGAAGCAAATGCCTGTAAGAAAACACCTGTTGATAATTTCAATTGACTACTCATTGAAGCAAACAAGAAGAAGAAGAAAAAAAATGTTCTTCTACATACAAAAAATAGGACATAAAAATAATCCATATCTCAACACTCAATAAACCTCTTAACAAAAAAAAAACGAACAATAATATTTTGATGTTCTATGGTTTTGTTTATGTCAATAATATATACTAAGAAAAAATATTATTCCGTTGAATCATCATAAAATAAGATACAGTATATATATATATATATTAATAAATCTTCTTACTAGATTGCATATCATAAATATATAAAATAAATATGACAATTTTTGATTGCTTTTCTTTTCGTCGATATTAATATTGGAAAAAAGAAGTAGTGTAATATTAAATAGCTTTTAAAGAAATATTTCTACTTAATTCAATCGCTCAAGTGTTTAAAAAAAATCTGTTGCACAATGATTACTCTATTCTATATGAGTAAATGATCGATTAACATCATATATATATATATAGAATGTACTAAAAAAATGATTTTGACCTCATAGAAATTCATTAACAACAAAAAAACTCTTAAGTTCCATATTTCTTCGAATATTTTAAAACAAACATCTGATTGATATTCAAATAAAACAAGAAAATTGTTTTGTAGTATTGCTCATTACATCTTGACTCTCAATATAGTACTACAATGAAAAATGAAATGAATCAATATACTGTTTATGTAAAATAAGATCATAATGAACAATGGTTTTCTTTATTCTGATTAGTTCAGTTCACACTTGTAATTATATTAGAATATATATTAAAAAAGTGTTGATGAATAGAATTTATGATTAAAAAAAGTATTTAATAATTAATTTTGAGTTAGAAAGTAATAAAGATAAATAATTGAATAAATGTTTTCTTTTTATATCAGCATTTATGACTTGTATAGCATATTTTATCATGAGAAATTTTTTTTAAAGTTTCGTATGTTTAGACGATGAATGATTCTTTGATGAAAGATAAAGGCTTCTATTTATATAGTTGATTTGCATAAGAAAAATTTGTCTTTTGTCCTTAACAATAAGATGCTACTTATATAAAATATATTATATAATTTGTTTTCTAGATAAACAAAAATTTCTTCAAAAATAAATTAACTAAACTAAGAAATTAATGAATTATTTTTTAGTTTATTATATATTATACATAAGTCAATATACAGTATATATTTTTCTCTTTTTTTTACTTTCTACTTTCCCAGAATAGATTTTGTCGATATATATCTATATAATATCCACTTGATATAAACAAAGAACAATATAAGAATATATTTCATTTTTATTACTGACATGAAATAGATGACATCAATGATCTGCCTATTTTATTGTTATCATTGACAAGAAAAAAACATAAATATATCCACATATGTTTTTATCACTCATCTTGTCAATTTAGATACCAAATGCTTACTTTTCGTTAGTATATCTTTATTCTATCAACAAGTTGTCATTCAAGGTAAATGAAACAGGTTTTTATTGAGTATATATATACTGAAATATATTCTTTACTATTAGGGTTGTTTTTTACCAATAGATTATATTTCTCTATTAACCTTTACTTCATATTTTCTTATTGGTAAATATGATGAGTTCGTTGTTATCATATATTTGTTATTATAATTACATCTTGCAGAAATCTCAATTGATAGAAAAACAAATATATTTAGTTGGCTTTATCTTCAATGTTTTTATTATAGAATAGCTTGAAAAAAAAAGCAAAGCAAATTTTCTAATTCAATTTTGACACATTTATATTGCTTATCTGTCATCAAAACGACAATAAAAAATAGATATAACCAAAGAGAAACACTATTTTTCCTCAAAAGAGATATAAATCAATTAGCATAACAGAATAGAAAAACTAAGAAGAACGTTGTATGTACATTCGAGTTGAAGATAATCATTTACTGTCATTTCTCTTTCTCCTACGTTATCTTATAACACATATGAAGGCACGTTCTATCTCCTTTTCCCCTATATAATTAACAGTTTCAAATGGCACACCAAAAATAAACGTAAGTTTACGTTATTTATCAGTCATAAAAGGAACACAAATGTCATACAGTCTAGAATCTTAACCTTTTTTTATAATTTTTAATAGGATGACTTAATTTTACTCTAAACAATCTAATTGTTTTATTCTAGTCCTTATTAGTAACATAAACACAATAAATCATATCTTAATTATATTCTAATAATAATATTACTATTTGAAAAACAAATGTTTAGAAAAATTAGATGATTGACATGTGACAAAAATCTATTCAATAAAATAAAAATAATTTATATTTACCAAAATGTTGAATAGAAGAAAATACCATGATAAGATTTGTATTGCAATAAATGAAAGTTTTTTGAATTTTTCAATAAAATAATATCATTGATTTATCACTTTGAAAAACACATTGCCTATTGATCAATATTTTCTTTCAAATATATATGATATTTTTATTTTTTAACTATCTAAATGATTTTGTTTTCCTCACCTAATAAAATATAATTACTAGTTTCATTATCAACTATTTATCCTTGGAATGACTATTCGGAATATGTAGTATTTCGTCCTTAACTGTCGACATATAAATTCTCATAATAAATAATAAATATTAAAGATAACACGTTTAACCATTGTCTGATAGAATAAAACAATATTTCAATTGTCATATGAGAATAGTTTACACGCATTCGAAAATAATTAACAAATATTTGTATTCTTGATAATAGAAAGGATTTTATTTAAGTAAGTACTTTTTTTCTTCTCTTTCGTCATGCATTGATTGTCTAAAGAAATTAGATGATAGTTAAGAATATTACTACAATCTTGATATATAAAAACTATGTTTTTAGTACTAATATTCGATAATAATATGCAAGAAAATAACTAGTAATTATCATTCCAACTGAAAATATAAGTTATACATATCAAATAACAATATTTTTTTCTTTTATCTATTATTAGTTTTTTCCTGTATATTCAAATTGAACCAATACAATATCAATATTAAATTTATGTTTTAAATAATTAATATGTCAAAGAAATTTAATATTCGTGAATGGGTTTTATCTGTTAAGTATGTATTTAATTTGTTAATTTTTTTTTGTTATAATTATTTCTTTAGATATTGGTCATTATTATTCATTCCTCATATAGCAATTACTTTAATTTTTCTAATATATGTATTCATTGGTACAAGTATTATTCAAGAAATTGAATCAGAAGGATCAGAAAATTCTTCAATAATAAAAAATCTTCAAAAAGAACGCGAACGTCTTTTATTGAAAATAATTGAAAAAAGACAAACAGTAGATGTACAACAATATGCAAAATATGTTTATAAACATATTCGCCAATACGAAACTGAATTAATGAAGCAGTACAATTTTGAAGAAAACTTAACATGGAATTTTTCAAATTCTTTATATTTTATTGGTACAACTTTAACAACAATTGGTATGAATTATGAATATTTTCCTCTAATAAATCAATTGAATTTATTTCTTTTAAAGGTTCAAATGAATTTACACCGAAAACAAATATAGGAAAATTATTTTCAATAATTTATACTGGATTTGGTATTCCATTAACATTAGTTTTCTTAACAGATTTAAGTTATTTACTTCAAGAATTAATTGATTATATTTCATTTATTATTTTATATATATATTCATCAAAATATTTTCTTCGTATACGTCATTTTGGTTTTGTTTACTCTCTTGAAAGACAACTTTCTACTTTAGTTGAAGAAAATAATAAATATTCAAATATTGAAACAAAACTAACACCTATACAATTAATTCTAACACTTTTTATTTATATTCTTATTGGTACTTGGCTTGTACCATCAAAATCGTTTTTTGATAGTATTTATATTTGTTTTACAACTATATTTACAATTAATTTTAATCGAAAATTTAATGAAGAAAAACATTTCTTTTTTACAACTATTTATTTATTATTTGGTATCGCAATTGGATTATTATGTATAAAAGCTGTGAAAATAAAAATAGAAATTTATTTAGTTAATTGTGGAAATAAATTACTTCGAAATCTTGTAGAATTTACTCAACAATTAGGTAAGAATAATAAAAAAAAAGGATCATTTCTATTTTACAGATTTTTTTTATTTTTAAATAGGTTATCACAATATAAATACAGATGATTTATTAGCAAATAATAATATGAATTGTTATTTTTTGAAAGGATCAAATCATAAAAGAAATTCAGGTCGAGAACGTTCAAATTCAGACGACACTCTAATGATTTTACGTCCAGTTGGTATAGCAGAACCATTTCGTCGTCTTTCAAATGGTATTATTCGAACATTGAAACATAATGATAATGAAAACGATAAATATTTGGATAAAAGTGTTCAAGTTAGTACTATTATTCGACGATGTGGTCGTTGTGCTGAAACAACATTACCAATATTACCAGTTCGACGACATAGTATTCTTTCAAGTTCATCATCTTCCATGGGTGATAATAGTTCAGGTGGTGATGATGATGATACACTCGATGTTCCACCACCACCAAATATGGATCGTATACGTCAAAGACGTGCAACACTTGTAGCAAAAACGATCATTAATCAAATGGCTACACAACCAAGATCATCATCAACTGAAGATATGATACCACCATTAACACTTTCAAATCATCGTCGTACATCATCGAATTCATCATTAAATTCTGTAACATGTTCAATAAAAGTATCATCATCTCCTTCGCCTGAAGCTCATCGTAAACAACATAAACATACTCAAGAAGAATTTTCACAACTTTCAAAACAAATTGCAGCATTATTAACTGCCAGTGACGATGAAAATTAAATAAAAATAAATATTTAATTAATTCTAGTCTTTCGTTGTTGTTTCATCTTTAAATTAGAAAACAAACAATCAACGATATTTTTCTTATATGCTTTCATAATATTTTATTTTGTTTATTTAACAAGAATAATTTTTCCGAGAAAAAATTTTCTTTTTTTATACTAATTTTTAAAAAATAATTTATATATCTGAATAAATAGAATGTAAAAAATTATTATAGAATAAAAGAGTGTATTTTATTGAAATCGATTGCTTCTTATACTATCACAAATTAATATCTATAATCTTATTACTTTATAAATCCACTTCTTTATTATGAAATTATACGAGCACCATACAAATAGAAATTATTTTCTATAGAAAACGTGTTGTAGATGCAATGTTCCTTACAAAACATAGTTGTCGAAAAAATACAATAGAGATTAGAATACATATATTCTTATTTTACTCGATGAATTTTAAATTATATACTATATGGATGGATAAAACCAAAGCTTTAGTAATTCATCTATAGATGACACTAGTCTACAAACGTTTGTAAAAGCTATTAGTTATTCGATTTTAATAAAAATGTAAATTACATAATTTTCTAAAGAGAATAACATTTAATCTTGAGTAATATACAGGTATATTAGCTGTTTTACGAAATAAAATTCTTTACATAAAATAGCCAATAAAAAGAATGATGAAGTTTCGTCATCAAAAATGGCTTGTTATTTTCAAAGGTGCTAATACTTAGAAATCGAACAAATCTATTTTATCTATATTATATCAATATTGACATAGTTAAAATATAAAATAAAATATTTTAATTTATTGTTTTAGATTAAGAAAATGGTCTTCATGAAACCTGAAAGTGCTCTTCGACGAGCCGATGGTAAGCTTTATCTAATTTACATTAAAAATTATCTTTTTATATAATAATGTAGAATTAATTGATGTTGGAAAGAAACAACGTGCTTTGGAAACACTTTTTGAAGTTATTACATCACGTCGTCATCGAACATGGACGAAAACACACGAACCATTGATGGAGAAATTTTTGGATTTATGTGTTGAATTAAAGAAAAGTCAAATTGCTAAAGATGGTCTTCATCAATATAAAACAATTTCACAAACAGTGAGATATTTCAATTTCTATTTTAAGAAATCATTACTTTTTGTTTTAGGTATCGGTGAAATCACTTGAAGATGTTATTATGAGATTTCTTAAAAATGGTGAACAACGTTGTTTAGATGCACGAAAAGAAGCTACAAATGCTCTTGTAGATATTGATGATTTGGAAGTTTTGCAATCACCTGAAAGGTATTTAAATATAGAACTCAAGAAAAACAAAAAATACATTCTTATTATATAAATTAGTGTTATTTCTATTTGACAATTTAACATCTCTAGTTCTCTTCGTAGTTATAGTTCAATTCTCATTTGTATTTTCTCGAGACCGTTGATCTCTTCTAAATAGTTACAAATGTCTTAGACTATTCTCTATGAGAGATTACTAATGCACCTACGCACATCCTTCCGTTTGGTACATGACTTTAATTTCCAATGAGTTCTTTTTCTTCTACAAAAATCCAATCAAATTTTGTAGTCTGTACTAAGTTGCATTTGAAATATATAATAATTAAATCTACCAGATGTCTGACCTTTTCTAACCACAGAATTCCATCTGTGTAGAACTATAAAAAGTATGAACACTGAAAACTGAGTCCATTAATTTATCTATTTCGAAATATTAAACATGTATTTTGATACTTTAATAATTATCCCATAAATTATTAGTTGAACTTCGGTTTGAATCAATTTTTGTTTTGTAAATATTCGTTAGAATTATGAACAATTGATCTTATCTATTTCGTTTTTTAGTCTTTTACTCAGCGCAGTTAGTGGTGAATCACAACAAGATCGTACTGATCGTGATATGCTTGCACCATGGTTAAAATTTGTTTGGGAATCATACAAACAATGTTTAGATTTATTAAAAAATAATAATCGTGTTGAAAAAATCTATCAAGAAGTTGCTCAAATGGGATTTCGATTTTGTCAACAATATAATCGTCGACCTGAATTTCGAAAACTATGTGATACAATTCGAACACATTTTGTACAATCACAAAAATATTCTCAACAAATGTATAGTGTTAATTTTCAATTACCGGAAACACAAGCACTTCATTTAGAAACACGTTTAGTTCAACTTGATACAGCTATTGCTATGGAATTATGGCAGGAAGCATTCAAAGCTGTCGAAGATATTCATGCATTCACAACAATTTCAAAAAAAACACCACGACCACAACAATTAGCATCCTATTATAATAAAGTTGCACTTGTTTTTTGGAAAGCTGGAAATTATGTTTTTCATGCAACAACAGTTCTTAAATTATATGTTTTACATAAAGAACAAAAGAAAAATATTACACATGCTGAATTAAGTCGTCTATCAACAAAAGCATTATTAGCAATTTTATCAATTCCATTACCAACACCACGAACACAAATTGATGAACATTTAGAAACAGAAGAAACAACCAATGAAAAACAAAAACGTTTAACAGGTTTATTATCATTACAACAAATTCCAACACGTGCAAGTCTTATACGTGATATGATTAAACAAGGTGTTTTAAATTTTGTTTATCCGGAATTAAAAAATATGTATGAATGGTTAGAAGTTGAATTTAATCCATTAAAATTATCAAAAAAAATGGAAGACAGTATACAATTTGTTGAAAAACTTTCCCAACCAGAATATACACAATATATGCCAGCATTACGTGATGTAACTGTTGTTCGTTTACTTCAACAAATTTCACAAGTTTATCAAACAATTGAATTAAAACGTTTTATTGATCTTGCACCATCTATTGATAAACATCGTTTAGAAAAAATTATTGTTAATGCAGCAAAAAATAATGATGTCCAAGTTCGTATTGAACATAAATTAAAAGCATTAACATTTGGAACAGATTTAAATCTTTCTTCAAATGGACAAACAATTGAAAGTCAATCGGCACCAAAAACAAACGTGATTCAAAAAATGCCGAATGAACAAATAAGAAATCAACTTATATCAATATCACGTGCACTTTATTCATCAATGGAAATTATTAGTGAAAAATCTAATAAAGAACGTAATGATAAATTAAGACGAGAAATTGCTTTAACTTATTCTCGTGATGAAATTAATCAACGAAAAGAAATATTAAAACGACGAGAACTTATTGAACGTTATAAAGAAGATAAAGAAATTGAATCGAAAAATAAATTACGACAACTTGAAACAACTTCACGACATCAAGAAGAAGTCCGTGTTAAAGAGGAAGAAGAACGTCGTAAAGCTGATCAAGCACGTCGTAAAGCTGAAGCTGCATTAGAACGTGAAAAAGAAGAACATCGTTTAAATATGAAAATTGCTATTGATAAATTACGTGAATCGGATATAGGTCGTCGAATAATTGAACTTATTGGTGAAGAAGAATTATATAAATATGATCCTGAATCATTAAATTCTTTACATATTGATGCTGTTATAAAACATAGTCGTGAACAAAAAGAAAAATTAAAAGTTCAATTTAAAAAAGTAGACTTTTTTGCTCGTGCATTACATGATGCTGAAGTTCCATTAGTTAAAAAATATAATGACGATGAAACAAATCGAAGACGTGATATTCAACTTCAAGAACGTGAACTTGCTATTGAACGACGTGGACGTCTTGTTCGTATGGATGATGATAAAAACGATTTTCTTAATTCAATACGTGGACAAAGACATGAAGATTTTCTTACCGAAAAGAAAGAATTTGAGCAACGTTTAACTATTGCACGTCAACAACGTTTAGAACAAATACGTAAAGAACATGTTGAAAAGAAAAAACAAGATTGGAAAAAACAAAAAGAAAATAAAAAACAAGAAAAAATACAATCAAAATTAAAACGTCAAGAAGCAGAACGTATAGCTGCTTTACGTGCTAGTGCAAAAGCAAGAGATGAAAAATTAGCTGAACAATTAGCAAAACAACGTGAACGAGAAGCAGCTGTTGAAGCTAAATTGAAAGCAGAACAAGATGCTACACGATCAACTTCAACAAGTACTGGTCGACGTCCTGCACCATCATCTGACAAAGACAAAACGGATAGGTTTGTTTAATCAAAGAAAATATTTTCACCTCTATATTTAAATTTATTTTTTAGTCAAGCATGGCGACCTACTCCACGTAGACAAGATGATAATCAACAATCTCGTGTTGAATCAAAGGATAGTTGGCGTAGTCGAAACGATGATCAACGGTAGATAATCGGAAATTTTTATTAAGAAAATTAAATTAATTATCATGTTTTTAGTTTAAGAAATACTGATCAACGTTCAGATGAACCATCAACAAATAAAAGCGCATCGTCGAATGATACATGGAAACCAAGACCAAGACCTGAGCAACCAAATCGAGACGAAAGACGAGATGATAGACGAGATGAGAGACGAGGTCCACCATCATCATCACAACAACAACAACGACAGGCATCACCATCATCATCAGACCGATGGACAGAACGAAATTCTGAAACATCAAGCAGTTGGCGTACAGTAGAAAAAAAACGTCCTAATCCGTAAGATTACTAATTCTTGTAATCGACTATTATCTAATTATTTTCTAATTCAGTAGTACACGAACTGATAATGAACGTCCATCACAACAACGTTCAGGTGAATCATCATCAAGTGGAGCTTGGCGACCAAAACAACGTCCAGTTGAAGAACCACGAGAAAATATTCGTAGTGGTCCACCTCCAGCAGACAGTTGGGGACGTGCCGATGCTAATAGTAGTTGGCGCTCAAGAGAAAAAAAACGTTTGAACAGGTTTGTTGTATTGCAGCATTTCTTTATTATTTTATTTTTTTTTGTCAATAATTTTATTTTAGTTGGCGTGCCAATGACAGTGATGATGAAAATGAACGTCCTTCATCGGATAATACACGTGGTATTGGTGGCAGTGGTAACCGGGAATAATGATTTTGGTGAAAAACAAGAACTGATTTATCGTTATCTATTTTCCTTTTTAAATTTTATTGCCTAACCCACCTGTGTGTTTATTTTCTAATATACACACTGTTACTTTTTTTTTGTTGAAGAAAAACCAAATAAAATTGATTCTTTCTCTTGGAAAAAAAACATTGATTTTATTAGAATTCTATATATTTATTTTCAGTCTTATGATATGAATAAAAAAAATCGATTATTTTTCCTAATTATAATGTACTTTAAGATGTACTTGGAGAAGAAAATGATACAATATGTACTTGTTTTATATGTGCAATGATACACTTTATAGAAAACATTGAGACGCAGGTCAAATAGGTAACAGAAGGCAAAAGCTAATTGATAATAAATATAACATTTATTCACTTATCAAATATATTGTACAAGTAGTTTATAATTGAAATATGTTTATGAAATTTAATTCAATCTATATTGAACTTAACTTTATCAATTTATATATTGATAATTGGTAAAAATTTATATATATATA